AAGACTAGATTTATGGCCCAGGATGTGATCTATTCTGGAGAAGGTTCCGTGTGCACTTGAGAAAAAGGTGAAGTTGATTGTTTTGGGGTGAAACGTCCTATAGATGTCAATTAGGTCTAGCTGGTCCATTGTGTCCTTTAAAGTTTGTGTTTCCTTGTTCATTTTCTGTTTAGTTGATCTCTCCATAGTTGTGAGTGGGGTATTAAAGTCTCCTACTATTATTGTGTTACTATTAATTTCCCCGTTTCAATTCTTGGTAGAAAAAGTAGGCAGAAAATTAGAAAGGTAGACTTGAACTGTTAAGCAACTATTAAGCAACATGAGGTAATTGGAAATGATAGACCACTTGACCTAACGACAGCAGAATATAATTCTTTTCAAGTGGTCATGGAACATTCATCAAAATACACCATATTCTGGGCCATAAACAAGTCTCAATAAATGCAAAAGTATTCAAGTCATACAAAGCATGTTCTCTGATGACATGCTATTAAATTAGAAATTGATAACAGGACTATCTCTAGAAAATCCTAAGTATGTGTTAAGTAAATTACATACCTCTAATTTTATTATGATCTTGATGGACAGAGAGGTCATCCTCCACTGTCTAGGTCACTGTGTACACTGGGAAATTGGAATAAAGGAAAGAAAAACTATAAAAACTTGTTTCTCCTGCATGGAAGAAATACAGATAATAATTACATAAGAGTTCAATTCAGGGTTGAGGTAGAAAAGTCCTTTGGGGCTACTGATCAGTGTATTGGCAGGGATCTGGTATATGGATCTGTTTCCTTTATTCCCAGTGTCCCAGTCACCAGATTTCTCAAGGGTAGAAACTCAGTAGCTTTGCAAACGCATTAATGGATCTATATGGGGCCAATTATTCTTACTTCTTCACCTGCCTGCTAAGCCCTCATTAATGAAGGCAACGTCCTCCCCAGCTATGAGCTCATGGGCCACCCATGGGAAAAGATGGCTTTGGGGTGTACAGGACCAGCTGGGAGTGCCTCTCAGGGTGGGGACTGCCTCCCTCCCCTCACCACGTGAGAGGTTAAAGTCAGTAGCAGGCTCTGATCCCCAGGCTCAGTCTATGGACCCAATGAGTCTGGGTTTGTCATCACTGTTTTTCTAATGAAAGATTGTGTTCTGACCTCCAGATCAACAGCTCTGCTACCAAGTCACATGCTCTGTTGGAATTAAATGGTTTTCTTATGAACATCTAAAGCAAACTTGAAGGAGGAAATTCATTGGTACTTTACTATCACCAAGTAATACTCAGATTTCTGGGAATTGTTAACTACTGATATGTCTTCTGGAAGGAAGGGAATGTCCAGGACAACCACCTTATCCTACAGGCTGATCTGATTTTCCAGGACATGGAGAATTCTAGCAACTCAGAAAAGGATATTTATATGTGGCTCAGGGGAAGATACTCCATGTTTCTCAAAGTGTAGTCAGTGACCACCTGTTTCAGATTCACCAGATTTGGGGGCCTGGCTTTAGATTTATTAAATCACATTTTCTGAGGCTGGTACCTAGAATCTGCACATGCAGGAAACTTCTCCAGGTAACTATGGGCAGAGCACCTTAACACTTCAGAACCATTGTTTGCGGTCATTGCCTGCTCTCCGTTGTACTCCCACTCTGTTATCCTAAGGAGGAAGTCAAAGAAACAGGTATAATAAAACCCCTTGCTTATTCCTCCCTCATCTACAGGCCTCTGGCACCTGCTCTCACTCCTAAACCCTCCACCCACCATGACTAGACTAGACCGCTCAAATTTTCTTCCTAGTTTCCATTCACAGGTATAAACTACAGCCAAAAGAAATAGTGATTACTCCAGCATCCTCCCCCCACCCAAGATGAACTACTTCCATTTATTTATTATTATTTTGGCCCTGTTGCATAACATGCGGGATCCTAGTTCCCCGACCAGGGATCAAACCTGTGCCCCCTGAGTTAGAAGCAAGGAATCCTAACCACTGGACCGCCATGGAGACCCCACTCCAGCATCCTTTGAAAGACTGTCAGAAATGTCAGTTTGTCCACAATCCCTTGCTTGACTAACTCTCTATACTCTGAATAGTTTTGAATTTAGTGCAGACTGGAGAAGAGAAGAAGGATGACAGAGGAAAGGGGAGAAGAAGAGAAAGTGAGTAGACATAAAGCAAGTAATAAATCAGAGGCTGTGATCAGCAACCATTGCATTACCCTCTACTCTACCCTTCTCTATGCCACCTCCCGGCCTGTTGGCCGCAGTCCTACTCTTCCCAGTTTCTGTCTACTCTTTTAATCAGAGAAGCACTTGCAGACCTGTTGCCCACACTGAAGCCACCCACTGAAGAAGGTGTGAACTTGGCTCTTAGGTTCTACTTCACTCATAATAACCATTTCTCAATTTCTTGAAGTTCCTGTAAGTTATTTCATCCTGAGATTTTTACAGTTAATTCTTTAAGGTCCTTGAAATTTGCCTTGAAGCTGAGTTGGCTTTTGACACCAATAGGGCCAATGACATTTGCAACCCAAACCTGGGGCTGTCTACAATCCTGCAATAATAGGGTTTATTATAAACTAGAAACTGTTGGGTTCAGAATGGCTGAAATGTTACATCTCAGTGACATCAAATAAGTCAGTTATGCTCCATGTGCTCTAAAAGATGTTATCAGTACCCTGTGTTCAAATTTGCCCTCTTGGGTTTTGTATTGCAACTTTATTAGAGCATCTTATCTCTTTGGGCATTAAAATGATTTCTTCCAGTCACCGCTCACAGTGTTCCATTAATAGCCATAGTGCCTTCAGTATTTACTTGATAGCTAAAATTTTTTTAAAATCTCATTTATTGATTTGGCTGTGCCAGGTCTTAGTTGTGGCATGTAGGATATTTAGTTGCAGCTTGTGAGCTATTAGTTGCAGCATGTGAGATCTAGTTCCTTGCCTAGAGATCAAAGCCAGGCCCCCTGCATTGGGAGCACAGAGTCTTAATCACTGGATCCTTAACCACAGGATCTTAACCACTGGACCACCAGGGAAGTCCCTCAACAAATTTATGGATAAATTTAGTTATCCATATTCCAGAGTCTTCCCGTGCTCTGGCACTTTGCTGATTCTGGAAAGTTTGCCAATGGGACAAACTAGAATCTTTTGCCTGTTCATGACAGCTCTTTCCTCTCTGCAACCTTCCCAACATCTTTCACAGCTCCATTATTTACTCCTCAGGGCAGGAGGAGGGGGCTCAGTTTTTTCCCTTTCTAGCCTCCTCAATCACATCTGCTGGTTTCAAAGTCTTCACAACTGAGGATCCTCACCAAACAGCACAGGATACTTAGCTGACTCCAGAGCCCAAGGTAATTCAGGAACAGAGCAGCCAATGGAGCAGGAGAGAGTGTGGTGTTCAGGTGGTACAGTTCAGTTCAGTTCAGTTGCTCCGTCGTGTCTGACTCTGTGACCCCATGGACTGCAGCATGCCAGGCCTCCATGTCCATCTTCAACTCCCATAGTTTACGCAAACTTATGTCTGTTGAGTTGGTGATACCATCCAACCATCTTATCCTCTGTCGTCCCCTTCTCCTCCTGCCTTCAATCTTTCCCAGCATCAGGGTCTTTTCAAATGAGTCAGTTCTTCGCAGCAGGTGGCCAAAGTATTGGAGTTTCGGCTTCAGCATCAGTCCTTCCAATGAATATTCAGGACTGATTTGCTTTAGGATGGACTGGTTGGATCTCCTTGCAGTCCAAGGGATTCTCAAGAGTACATCATGACTTTATTCATCATGACTTTATTCATTTTCTGCATGTAAAAGTCATTTTTACAAAGCCCTAGTCCTGGGGAGGGGCTATTCCTTCCCTGCTGGCCCCAACACCCCTTGAGAACAAGGTGATTCTATTCATTGGAAATGATGGTGCCTTCATGAAGGATGGGTGACGTTTTCTCTTGGCTGATGCTCTGGAGTGCAAGGTCTCACTGTACACTCTGCAGCCTTATACTGCCCCTATTTCTCCACATCCCAACCCCCATCACCTTTAGAGTCCACAATAGTGCTTGACTTGTGCCAAGTTCTGAGAGGCAATTTTATAGCTGAGCCTACGAACCACCCACCACTCCTCTAGAATTCTCCGGATCCTCTGAAGGCTTGTTTAGTCACTCTCACTTAGTATATGTTTCTCCTCTATTTTGTTTGGTGGTAGGTTGTTTGCTAAATCTTGTCACTGTTTCATTTATTTATTTTTATTGTTGTTTAGTTTTGTGTTAGATCTCTCTCTCCAACAAGAATAATCAAAGCTAACATTCTTTCTCAAAGTGCCAGGCTTTGTTCAAGTGCTTTACATGAATTAACTCATTGAATTTTTATAGTAATCTTTGGAGATTAGTGTTGTTATCCCTATTTTACAGAAAACTGAAAATCAGAAGAAAGGTTAAGTAACATTCCCAAGGTTACACAGCTGGCTAATGGTGAGGTCTCAGTTTGGAACGTTGCCAGTCTGATGCCAGAGCAACACAAAATATATAGTCTCTAGAAAATAGGCTTCCTGAAGTCAGACATACTTGAATTCCTTACAGGAAGAACATAGAGCTAAGTTTATGGAAGATGGTCAATAAAGTTTTGGTAAGTAATTGTTTCATAATTTAGAATTTTTTAAGATCCCTAAGAGACCAAATTGTGTATATTTCTTTTCTATTTTCCATTGCTGCTCAAGTAATGCTTCCTAACTGACTAATCAGCCAAGTTGAGGAGAACTTCTCTATGACAGAATTCCACTGACGAAGCCAGACTTCCTCGGTGAGAGCAATCTTCAGAAGGCTGTCCTTAGGGCAGAATTAAACCAGTGAGAGCCCCTGGGTGTTCCACTTCTTTCTGGTGGCCCTCTCTTTCCACGTCGCAGAGCACTGAAGAAATATGGAAGGGGCCAACCTGAGCCGAGGGACTGAGTTTGAGCTTTTGGGGCTCACCAGGGACCCCTGGCTCCAGAAGCTGCTCTTCGTGGTGTTCCTGGGCATGTACACTATCACACTGCTGGGAAATCTAATCATGTTTCTTCTGATCCATGTAAGTGCCACGCTGCACACACCCATGTACTCCCTCCTGAAGAGCCTCTCCTTCTTGGATTTCTGCTACTCCTCCACAGTTGTCCCCCAGACTCTGGTGAACTTCTTGGCCAAGAGGAAGGTGATCACCTATCTAGGCTGCGTGGTTCAGATGTTTTTCTATGCGGGTTTTGCCACCAGTGAATGTTACCTCATTGCTGCCATGGCCTATGACCGCTATGCGGCTGTCTGTAACCCCCTGCTCTACCCAATTGCCATGTCTCCTACGGTCTGTGCCTCTCTGATTGTGGGATCCTATGGTGCAGGATTTCTTAATTCTCTGATCCACACAAGCTGTATCTTTAGTCTGAAATTATGTGGTACTCACGTGGTCACTCACTTCTTCTGTGATGGACCACCCATCCTGTCTCTGTCTTGTGTGGACACCTCACTGTGTGAAATCTTGCTCTTCATTTTTGCTGGTTTCAACCTTTTGAGCTGTACCCTCACCATCTTGGTCTCCTACCTCTTAATTCTCATCACCATCCTGAGAATGAACTCAGCCCAGGGCAGGTTCAAGGCCTTTTCCACCTGTGCTTCTCACTTCACTGCTGTGTGCCTCTTCTATGGCACAACACTTTTCATGTACCTGCGCCCCAGATCCAGCTACTCCCTGACCCAAGACCGCACAGTTGCTGTGGTCTACACAGTGGTGATCCCACTGCTCAACCCCCTTATCTACTCTTTGAGAAACAAGGATGTGAAAGAAGCTTTAAGAAAGGTTTGGGAAAGAAAAATAATGGAATGATCTTCTCAATTCATCACCATATATCTTGAGAAAGCTGAGGGAACTTTATCCCATGTTCAGCTCTGTTTATAGGAGGCACTCTCTGGTTTTCAGGGGCTTCTGCATCTACTGCCACAGAAAGAACTGATTGTGTCATAGAGACTAAAAAGAAGTAAGGAATGTCTGCTAGTTGCATAATTGGACCCACTGGAAATATTTAGGCATGCCTTTATTCAGATGCTTCTTTCATGTTTCCATGTGTGTGCATATTTTTTTTTATTACAACCGACATTTATATTCTTCACAATGAAGTTCTCCCCTTAAATAACCTGTACTGCTTGAGGGAAAGCCTTCCTTATTTATAATTGCCTGTTTGTAAAAAAACTGACTCCTTGACTTTAGCATTTTTTAATTGCCTAATTATTTGAGTAATACGGTAACAATTTCAGAAGCTCAGATGATATTCTATTGTCTTTATTGACTTTCTTCCTGGACAAGTAACTACTTAGTTGCTTCCAAACTGGGTGAACTTGGGCAAGTTACTTAAGTTTTTCTGAGCCACAGATATCTCATCTTTTAATTGGTGTGAGTTTTAAGTATTCAGTTAGATATTACAGGTAAATCATTCAGTACATGATAGGCATTCCTGGACTTCCCTGGTGGCCCAGTGGTTAAGTCTCCATGCTTCCACTGCAGGGTGCACAAGTTTGATCCCTGATCGAGAAACTAAGACCCTGTATGTCTCATGCCCCACCTTTTCCTTTCTGTCAGCTCCTGTGCATGCTCAGTTGCTTCAATTGTATCTGATTCTTTGTGATTCCATGGGCTGTAGCCTGCTAGACTCCTCTGCCCATGGGATTTTCCCGGCAAGAATACCGGAGTATTCTTGTATTACCATGTCCTCCTCTAGGGGGTCTTCCCTACCCAAGGATGGAGCCTATAGCTCCTGAATTGGCAGGTGAATTCTTTACCACTGAGTCAGCAAGGAAGCCCTTTTTTTTCCAATAGTGTGGAATAATTTAAATAAGATAGGAATATTTGTTCTTTAAAAATGATACCTGCTCTGCTGTAAAACCACCTGAGACTGATGTGTCTTTAAAAGGTAGACCTTTAATTATACTTACAATTTTTTATGTAGTTATTTATTTCATTTTAGGTTTTTCCCTGCTTATTGGGTCAATTTCATCATTTATATTTTGCTCAAAAACTATTTCCTTCTTCTAGATTTTCAAATTCATTGCCACGAGTTGTACATAATATTTTCTTATAAATTTTGTATTTGTTCTTTAGGTCAACAACATCTCCACTTACTCTTCTAAATCTCTCCAGAGAGTTTGTTCCATTTTTTAGGACAATCCAAAAAAAGATCCTCTACCATAAAATGAGAAAAGGATTAAGTGGTCTGTAAGGATCTTCTGAACAACAACACTCCATGAGATAAACATTTGAAGAAAGGCAATGTTGAGGAAGGATTAAACATATATACTGCCTAATTCTAATCTAGCTCTGTCACTCACTAGCAATGTAAATTTGGGGAAGTTCTTTTATCTCTCTCTGTTAAGTATGTTTCATTTGGAAAATAGGGATAACAGTAAAATCTATTTTATGTATAAAAGTGTTGTGAAAATTAAATTACCTAATACTTACACTTGTGAAATTTAAATGATACAATATCTAAAACAGTGTCTGACCCATAGTAACTCTTTCATAAATTTGTATTAGCTGCTCACTTCTTTTGTGTGTTTCTGTGGTTATATTGCCTTACACATTCTTCATATATTTGTTTATTTTCCTTAATAACACTTAGCAGAGGATTTTTATCAACCTTTGAAAACATTCTGTTTTGCGGCTTTCTTATTTCTACAATTTATCAGTTTCCCATTTTATTAATGTCAGATTGTTCTTTATTAATTCCTTCTTTCTCTTCATTTATTTTGTTTTTCTTTTGTCAAGTGATTGTTTTTAAACACTGAAAATCTACAAGAGAATATTTTAAACATAGTCATGTCTATTTATTACATAATGATTAAAAATAAAATGCAGTCACTCACTATCCAGCTAAAGAGGCAATATTACTAATCCACTAGAAATTGTTCTTGCTTTACCTTCCAGGAAGTGCTTAGTCATAAGTCATATCTTTTTTAGATTTTGGTATGCTGAAAACTGGAACATAGGTAAGATGTCTGGAGTACAGTAGGTATATTGAGTCAGAAGGTGACCTTGAGCCTGGAAGTTCTATGCAAAGGATGACCTAGCAGGAAGACAGAGGAGTTTGGGTCCCTGGGGACAGTATGAACCCATAATCTCTACTTCTGAGCTTCCTTTATATAAAAGAAAACAGACCCCATCTTATAGATTTGGGATGTTATGTTATATGTGACTAAGCATAATTTACACTGCCATTGACATAGGAGAGCAGAGAAAATAGGTAATGTCATGATATGAACAAAATTTTGATTTTTTTCCAAAGATGGGAGATACTATAACATATTTTATAGAGGAAGAAATTGATGGTATAGAAGAGAGAGGATATAGTTATAGGAGCAAAGCCTGTGAATAAGGAAAAGGGATTGAAATCTAGCACACAGATGAGGGGACTGGCCTTAAATATTAATGAGAATAGTTCATCCACTGTCACAGGAGAGAAGACAGACAGGTATAGGCCTAGGTAGTTCAGTAGCTTGGTGAAAAAGTTAAAGTAGTTTTCAATTGCATTTCTCTATTTTCTCAGTGAAATATGAAGTGAGTTATAAAATTAATTCTTGTTCATCTATAAAATGGGGATAATAGTGTTTGCTTTCAAGAGTAGGCCACATATAGTATATAGGACATGGCTAAGTTTGCTATACGGTACTGAAATCTCTGGCTCAGTCTCCGTGGGGTCTCTGGATCTTGGTGTGCACAAGGTTTGTTTGAGTCCTACGAGGGTCTCTGGTGGGTGTGGGGTTTGATTCTAAATGCGACTTCACCCCTCCTACCATCTTGCTGGGGCTTCTCCTTTGCCCTTGGACGTGGGGTATCTTTTTTGATGGGATTCAACATTCTCCTGTTGATGGTTGTTCAGCAGCGAGTTGTAATTTTGGAGTTCTCGCAGAAGAAGATGAGCGCACGTCCTTCTACTCCATCATCTTGCTGCCAAAAACTTTTTCACCAAGCTACTAAAACACCTAAGCCTATACCTGTCTGCTTTCTCTCCTGTGACAATGGATGAACTATTCTCATTAACATTTAAGGCCAATCCCCTCATCTGGGTGCTAGATTCCAATCCCTTTTCCTTATTCACAGGCTTTGCTCCTACAGTTATACCCTTTCTCTTCTGCACCATCATTTTCTTCCACTATACAAATATGTTATAGTATCTCTCATCTCAGAGGAACCAGAGATCAAATTGCCAACATCCACTGGATCACTGAAAAAGCAAGAGAGTTCCAGAAAAACATCTACTTCTGCTTTATTGACTACATCAAAGTCTTTGACTGTGTGGATCACAACAAACTGTGGAAAATTATTAAAGAGATGGGAATACCAGACCACCTGACCTGGCTCCTGAAAAATCTGTATGCAGGTCAAGAATGTAAGTGTTTTTATGACAATGTTTATGGTATGGCTCTTTAGCAGACTCAAAGTCTGTGGTGATCACTTTCATTTCTCCAATTTTTCTCTTCATGCTAAACAACTACTAGACCAGCATTTTCCAATGTATAGTTAGTGGATATATATAAAAACTCCTGAGCCCCATCCCCTAAAAAATTAACCTGCATTTTAATTTGTACTTTTAATTAACTTACCAAGGGACTCCCATGCACCCTAATGTTTTAGAACCATCACACCAAACTCAAGGAACCATGCCACTCTTATCCACCTGTGTAATCCCTACACCTGTCATAATAATTCAGTAATTATTGAATGAAAGAATGAATAAATTATGGCAATCAGTCATGATTATTCCTTCAGAAACCAGAGAACACTTATCCCTAGGGCAACGGTTCTCAAGCTTCTTGGTTTCAGGATCCCGAACAGCTGAACCTTAGAAAATCCCAGGTATATTCCCTACTATGTATAAAATCAATGAGAACCTACTGTATAGCACAGGGAAGTCTACTCAATGCTCTGTGGTGACCTAAATGGGAAGGAAATCTTTAGAAGAGTGGATATATGTGTAACTGATTCACTTTGCTGCACAGGAGACTGTCAGGGAATGTTTGACGGGAGGATTCCTATGTGCTGTCTCTCATGAGTCCTTTGTCCCTCTTCAAGCAGAACAGCACGCTGCTCCCAGGGACTGAGGTCATTGTGTGAGGCAGGCTTGGGTCTCCTTTAGTAAACATTCTCTTTAGGACAAAATGCTTAGTCTCGTTTCCCTTTCTTGAGATATGGATTGTCTCCTGACCTTGTGACTAACATTACCCCTTGTTCCCTTGGTAACGGTTGCTGTACGTTTGGTTTTCTGATCTCTATCATTCCCGAAAGAAGTTTCTTATACCACAGCCTATATATACTCATAGGAAAATCATTAAAGTACCTTTGCTTCATCAAGCTTAGGTCCCCGGGTTTTTTTTCTCTCTCTCTCACTCTCTCTCTCTCTCTTTTTCTGGCTGACTCTCTGGAGCGTGGAGACCCATCGTGCTCACTTTTCTGCCCGGGCTTCTAAGACCCCCTCGAGAGGGCGCCTGGTGCCTTCGTGAGCGATGCAAGTCCTGTGTCAAGGACCTTATTGGTCCTCTGAGTAAACCAAGAGGATATCAGCCTCTTTCTCTCTTTCACTTTCTTATTGTCGACTCCGTACCACCAAGTTCCGGTCCATTAAAGGACCCCAACAGGAGACACCTAACACAACATTGTAAAGCAGCTATATGCCAATAACAGTTGATAAAAAGAAAACCCCAGAAAACACAAGACTATACAAATCCATTGTCTATTAGCCATTAAAGTGATGATGTCATTACACTTCCTGTAGCTTCTGGAAATTTCCTCTGTGTACTCGTAAACACATGAGAATGAAAGAAGAAAAAAAATCTTAGTATTATTTTGAAAATAGTTTTGAAACCCTGGACTTCCCAGAAGGACTACCCTTTGGGAATCACAGCTGGAGGGAATGTTCTGGTCATAGAGGCAGTGTTACTGGGGTTAAGGTGCATGGACTCTAGAGCAAGGACTCCTGGATAGGAGTCAACTCTTCACTGACTAGCTGCTGTGT